GCAGAGGCATCGCGCGGCGTGAGCAGCACCGTGGACAGCGTCCCTCGACGGCTTCCTTCCCACCGCTCGTGCTAGGCGCAGCCACGCGCCTGGCGTGTGCCTCTCCCCAACACCACCCACCCACCCCAAGCACCTGAGACGACCCCCACTCAGCCAAGCAGCAGGTTTTCTTTGGCAAACGAGGTGGCAGAGTACACCCAGCGGGGTCCGAGCACACCCACCCACCCACGTCAACGGGCACAACACAAAGGCGTGTTCCTCTTTGCAGAGAGAGAAAAACAAACACAACCTGTATTCCCGTAACACAATGCAGGCTGCAGTTCACCAGGGCCAGAAGGGGGGTGGGTGGGCTCTGGAAGGGGACGATGGATCCAAGCGGGCAGAGGGGGGTGGGCTTTGGGGTTCAACTCCCAGCACACAACTCCTGGTTGTGAGGTTTTAAAACTCAGAGCAGCTTTAACAGACAAGACAAACCAACAGAGCCCAGGAGTTGGCATCTTTGTGCCGCACCGGTGGCCCTGGGCAGGGGTCCCTGCAGCATGGATGCCCATAATAAATCATATAGCAAGGAAGCTGGGCATGGGGGGCCCTTCCCACCCCGTTCCTGCCCAATTCAGCCTAGGAGATCTCCCATTACTACAGATGGGAAGACTGAGGCCGGAGAACCTGCCTGGCTAATGAGCTCGTGACAACAGATCCGGATGAGACAGGCGTGCAAGAGCTGGCATATACCCCCCCCCCCTTTCCCTGTTTCTGGGAGACAAAGCCTGGCAGGGAAACGTTGCCAGGCGTATTGGGGTAGCGGGTGGTTGGTAGGAGGTGTGAAGCCGCCGAGGAGTGTGGGCCACGTTTTCCAATCTGGCAGAAGGATGCCGGAGCTGGATAAAAAGGAACTGCTTGGAGGGGGGGGGGGATTGAACAAGAGCGAACACGGGCAGAAGCAAACTCTCAGCCACCGGGGGAAGGGCAGGGAAGCGGGCAAGGCAACAGGGAGGGCAGAGGGGACCCTGGGACCAGGGTGTGAGAGCTGGCACGGCATCCTGTGGGTAAATTAAACCTCCAGGACCCCTGGCAAGGAAAAGCACAGAGCCCCTGTTACGTGGGGGGGGGGCATTTTCCAAGACAAGGCATCTGTGCCACCCTCCTCCTCCTCCTCTTCAGCCCCCCCCCGTTTCTTCACCCGCGGGGAAAGGAAAGGGAGGTCAGAGACTCCCCCCTCCCCTCATAGAAGTGCGGCAGGCAGAAGGGATGGGGGGGGGAGGCACGAGGCTAGGGGGGCACGTGGCAAGCAAGGCGGGCAGAGGCCGGGCACAGTTTGTTTCGCAGGGCGCCTGCCAGTCTCTCTCAAGCCCCTCTTACAAGACTCCTCTCCTCTTCCTCCTCGCCCCCCCAAACCACCCCCGTCAGCCATCCAGGATCGGGATTGATAATGGTGCAGCTATATCGATGCCCTCCTACCTGGCACAACCTTCCGTGCCCTTCAAGAGGCTCTACCTGCCCAAGCACACGGGGGGGGGGGAAGGAGGGAGAAAGACGCCCCCTACCGGACTCCGGGAAACTCTCTTTCTCCCCCCCTCCTCCCGCAACCAACCTCCAAGCCCCTTTGCTGCCCACTCCTCCGCCCGCAGCCCCCTCCCAAGCCAAGCGCCGCGGCAGACCGGGGGAAGCGGGATGAGGAGGGGTGGGGGTGTTTCCAGCCCACGGAGGGGAGGCGAGACCCCTCCAAAACCGCCCGAGACTCCGAGGGCCCCGGGCGATGCTCTGCCTGGCTGCCAGCCAGACTCGGGCACGCGTCGCCAACACAAGCGGGCGGAGGGTGAGTGGGTGGGTGGGAGCTTCAGACCGAGACCTCCGTTCTTAAAAAGAGACTCCCGTCTCTTCCAGCGCAAGGAGGGGGGGAGGTCCGGCAGGAGCCCCCTCCTCCGCGGATGCCAACCTGGTCCTCTCCTTCCAGAGGATGCGGAGGGATGGGAAGGACTGGAGAAAGGGAGGGGGAGATGGGGGGAGGATGAGTGGGGGGGTCTCCTCCCTTTGCTGCCCCAAGAGGGGTGGCTGGGGTCTCCGCGTTCTGCAAAGCGGCCAAGCCTTTGCCCGGTGCGGGGGCAGATGGGAGGCTGGATGGGGGGGTCTCATCCTTCTCCTGCCCCGAGGGTGGCGGTGGGGGGGGGGGCTGGGGTCTCCCGCCCCGCAAAGCGTCCAAGCCTGGCAGCTGGGAAACGCGGACGGCCTTGGAGGAAGCAGGGAGAGAGAGAGAGAGAGAGAGACCTACCGACCGGAGCCGCCGCCGTTTTCGTCTCGCCTCCGCCGGGTAGGAGCCGCTCTCGCTTCGCGCAATGCCAGCTCCGGCCCCCTCCGCGCGTGCCCATTGGACGCCCGCCGCAGGAGCAGGAGGAGGGATGGAGGGGGCGCGTGCCCGGAGATGCTCGTGCCCGCCTCTCAAGCTCGGGAAAGGAAAGAAGGGGAGGGGGGGGGTAGGGAAAAAAGGTCTTTGCCCCCTGCGGAACGCGCTGCTACCCGGTGCTCCTTTCGGAGAGCCCTGGCAGCCTCTGGGTTTAGAGGGGGGGAGGAGAGCACAGGGAGAGGAAAGACTGGGAATTGGGGTGGGGGCGCCCTAGAGTTTTCCCTATTTCTGATTTCCTGCACCAAATCAATTGTTTCTTCTGCACAAGGGCTAAAAAGAAAAGGTTCCAGTCCTCATTGTTCCAAATCCAGTCGGTTTAAGGGGGAAGCGAAATGCCACCCACCCACCCTCCCAGCCTCTCTGCTATTATGGGCTGGGGGATACCCCCCCACCCCCATTTTTCATGACCTGCACTAAAATCTTTATATCCTGCAAAATGGAGCCCCCCTCATCTTCTTCCTGCCTCCCCCCCATCCCATTTCCCCCCCACTCAGGACCCAACCCGGGTTAAAGAGAGGCTGCAGCATCGCCACCCTGGCACCTGTTCAGACCTGGGACGGCACCTTCCATCATCCCCGGCCAGAGAGGCGTAGTAGGGCTCTAGGCAACAGTGAAAAAGTGCCACAGATGGACAGACGGACGGACAGACGCCCACGCCAAGAGGCTGAGGGACTTTGACCCCCGACAGGCTGCCAGTCCCTGGCAGGGGGAGGGATGGTGTGTGTGTGTGTGTAGGGGGGGTGGAGTGTTTACAAACAGGGGGGGGGGAAAGGCAGCAGCCTGAGAATGGGCATTGCTTTTAACGGGCGAGAGGTGGGCAAAGCAAAAGATTGGCACCTGCCTACTGTGTGCCTTTTGCTGGCAGAACCTTTCGACCGACAGGAAATAGCAGCAAGGCCTATTTCTGAGCTGGAGTTACAAATAAAAAAAATGACTTTTAATGCTTTTTGCTGTTCTGTCGTCAGCCCTGCAATACGTTTCTCAAAGGGTCTGGCTTTTAATGCCAAGCTGCCAGTTTGCGGGCAATTGTTTATTGGGCGATTCCTGGGCAGATGGGCTGGAGAGGCACCCCCCCCTCGACGCCATCCGAATGGGACATTCCCAAGAGCCGACCAGCGTGGCGATGCGCAACCACGTGATGTCCGAATGACTCTCTGGACGGCACAACCTTCCTCCTCTGCGTCGCCACACCTCGAGTCGCTGGGCAGAGAGGCAGGGCACCAACTGGTGCCCTTTAATTACAACAGGATACCTGAGACGGAGGTGGCGGAGAGGGAAGGAGGGAGGGCACGGCGGTCACTCTGACTCCCAAGCCTGATCCCAGAGAGATTTTAGAAGATTATTTTTAAAAAAAACAGAAGCACAGAGCAGATGCCCGAAGAGCTGAGTGGGAAAAAGAACATATTTTATGCAAGGCAATACGATACAAAGAAAACTGACCATGTGTACATACTCTTTAATAAGGCTCTGAAGGACTAGTCCCAAAAACGTTTGCAGCACAGGCAGACGGAGGGGAGGGCTTGGGGCACCCCTCTCCTAGACCGGGTCAGACTCGAGGTAACATTACGGCTTTCCCGGAGCTTAATTTCTCCATCCAGGAGGCTGGCCAGAAAGACAGAGACAGAGGGGGGGGGGCAGGAGAGAGGGGGAGGGAGAAAGGAGGGAAGGAAGGGAGAGAAAGAAGAAAGGGAGAGAGAGGGGGAAAGAAGAGGGAGAGGGGGAGCGAGAGGGGGAAGGGGGAAGAGAGGGAAAGAAGAGGGAGGGGGGAAGAGAGGGAAAGAAGAGGGAGGGGGGAAGGGGAGGGAGAGAGAGGGAGGGAAAGGAGGGAAGAGGGGGAAGAAGAGGGAAAGAAGAGAGAGCATGGGAGGCGGGAGGGAAAGGGGAGAAAGAAGAGGGAGGAGGGAGAGGGAAAGAAGGGAGAGAGCACGCGGGAGAGAGAAAGAGAGGGAGGGAGAGAAAGGGGTAAGAGGAGGGGGGAGAGAAAGAAGGGAGAAAGAACATGGGAGAGAGAGAGGGGAGGGATAGAGAGGCCAGGATGGTCTGGGAAATGCGGGACAGCCCCTACCTCCAAGATAGGCAGGCAGCCCTTGTTGGGGGGGGGGGAGCCTGGGGAAGGGGAGAGCAGGGCAGGAAAAATCCGACCCTTCCCTCCCCTCTTCACTTCTGTGAAGAGCTGCAACCTCAGCAGGATCCATCCCCCCACCCCCACCCCACCGGTCTGGGAAAGGCAGGCTCTGGGGAGGAAGTAACACCCCCCCTGGAAGGTGCCCAGCATCCCTCCCCCCCCCCCCCCGTCTTGCTGGGCTGCCCCCCCCCTCCCACCACCATTCACGGCAAACAGTCCTGGATTGACAGCCGAGATGTCGAGCCTCCGTCCCCTCCACCCCACCCACACACCCTAAAAAAAACATCCACACTTTTGCTCTCCCCCCCCCGCCCCCCCATCAGGAATTGTTCCACCTGCTGGCCCAGCTTGGGACAGCCTCGGAAGGGTTACATGTGCAAGCCCTCCCCCCCCCCAAAAGAACCCATGCCTCCGTTGCTTTGGGACTAAAAGGAACTTGGGGGGGGGGGAAGCGGCTGCAAACTTCGGGAGCGCATCGGCCCCTCTCTGGTCAGACGTCACAAGTTGTCCTGGAGAGAAGGCCCCGATTTGGGGGAGAATGCCTCGGTCCAGGAACAGCGGCCCCCAAAGGGAGAAGTGGTGCTCACGAAGGGGTCCCCGGAAAGAGGGTTGGCCGCTGTCTGCTTGAGGAGCTCTGGGGGCCGACGTGCTTCCCCGCTCTCCCGTCCTGAGGAGGCCATCCGTCATTGGCTTCTTCAACCGCTTTTAAAATCTGTTTCAAGAATCTGTTTCAAGGGGGACTTCAAAGTAGGGGCTCCCCTCTCGGGAGTCCTCTCTCTCCCCAAATCTGCACCAAGATGAGGCCGTGGGGGTGGCCGGACTGAAGGGGGGGTTGTCCCTCTGAGAGGCTGCAGGTTGCTTTCCCCCCCGAGGGCCCAAAATCCTTTCCCATTCGGGCGGTTTCAGGAGTGGCTGGCTGGCCGAAGAGCGAACGTTAGTGTCCAAGGAGACCGGTCCCTGGAAAAACAAGGAAAGGGGGGGGAGTTTCAGCAAAGGAGGTGGTGGGGTCTGAGGAGGAGACGGAGATCGGACAGGGAGGGCGTGGCCCGCCTACCTTTAAAGCCTTCCTCCGGAATGCAGACTGGAAAGGAAGAGAAACGTAGTCAGGGAAGAAGCCTCCAGAGCCCACCACGCTCTACTTTGCTGTAGAGGAGAATTCAGGGCCTTTGCCCCTCCACCCTCCGCCCCGCAGTGCTTGGGGAGGGAAACCAGGAATGCCGGAGGAGGGAGGTTACCTTGCATAACGTCATCTATCGCCGCATAATCCACAATTGGCTCATCGGCCTGTTTTGGGGGGGAGGAGGGAAAATCGGGTGTTTGAAGATGGTTAAGATGCAGGGGTGGGATCGTACCGGTTAAAAAACTGGTTCGCTGAGCGCGCGCACAAATAGGTTAAAGAAGGCTGACATTCCGGATTACAGCTTGGGAAGGAAAACAGCTGAGGCGTGGTAATACTCCGTGCGACTCAGCTGAGATGATAAAGGTTGGTACTGCACAGGGCGAGCCCACTTGCTCGTGAGAGTGAACTGGTTCGCACAAACCGATCCGAATCGGTAGAATCCCACCCCTGGTGTGAAGGTGGCATACACACTCACACTCCAGCGCTCCCCGGCTTTTGCAATGCCCTCATGAGAGGAACAGGGACACACCACACCCCCATGGGACCTCCGTCTGGCCCTCTGGGTTGAAGCAGAGCAGCAGCCATGGGCAAAATTTGGGAGAACCACCTCAGGTCTGCTGCATCGAGGGCCGTGACTCGCTCACCTTCAACAGAACCACAGACTCGGGAGTGACCCCCAGGCTGCCCAGCGTGGCCACATCGTCGGACAGCACGGTCCCGTCGATCGAGAGGTTCTGGTCGAAGGGAGCCACAGAGAAAGCGTGCATGATCTGCGCCAAAGACACACGGTGAGACACCCTGAAATGAGGCCATCTTGGAGGCTTCAGGGTTGCCACACAACCGAGGAGGGGGGAAATAGCTGGATGGTTTTTTTTTTAGCCAAAACAATGAAGTTTTCCTGTGGGAACCAAGGACGTTCTCACAGGTGGCTGGTCAGAGGAGGAGCAAAGTAACCAAGCAACCGGCCAGCAGCTGGATTGGACAGCGTGACCAGGGACTTTGGGGAAAAGGGGAAGCATTTACTTTTTAATTAGGTGAAAGCCGCGGGAAACTTCGGGGTTGGTTTTCACCAGTTGTGCCAATAGGATGTATCCAATTAATTGTTCCTTGAGGAATTTGCCTGCCTCGGAGTTCTGCTTTCTATGGGTGCATTACTTAGAACGCCAATGCTAGCTGAACAGGTGAGCTTCCCAGCAGGGAGGACCTGCCCACCTGGGGACACACACCCGACACACCTTTCTTCTGCAGAACTCCGACCCCCCCCCCCTTGGCATTCTCTGCTTCCTGAATGGCTCGAAGGCCACGGACAACGGCTTTGACACGAGCAGCTGCAATGCTCCTTCTGTGCTGAGAAACGGGGGCCCACTGCGCATGGACAGGAAGAGTGTGGCCTCACCTGGATCTTCAGGTCCTTCAGCGTCTGGTTGGCGGAGACGAGGAGGGCTTTTTCCCCCCGTATCCTCCTGTGCCGGGTGCTGCGCCGGATGCCCTGCTTCTGACAGACCACGGAGTTGGGGTGCGAGACTTTCTGCCGCTTGGCATTGCTGTTCGCCTGGGATGCGAGAGGATTCCAGAAGGGGGGAAACTGAGTCCCATCCACCTCTTCCCCAACCTGATGGGTTCTCGGCTTTGATTAAGGCTGGGCCGGGGATCCCGAGACCCCCTGACCTAGAGCAACCTTCTTCCCTTTGGGTGACTCCAAAATCTCCCTGCACCGATTCAATACAGATAGTCCCCGACTTACGATGAACAACGGAGCCCAACATTTCTTTTTTTTTTAATGAAAATTTTAAAAAACAAACTTTACAAATATTGACTTCCCTCCCCCCCCCTCCCCTCCCCCCCA